AAACTATTAAAACAATTATATTGTATTCCTTCTATTGTAAGTTTCATTTCAGCTCCTATGTTTAAATAATTTCATTACAAATTGTTATACTTTTCACATGTAACAAACTTTACTAAATTTTTGTTTTACCATTTTCACGAGAAATACAATAATATTGAATTTCGCATGATTATAAGGTGAACCTAGTATATGAACCTAACCTCAAACTGTAAGTAATGTAAATAAAGATGGACTGTGTTCGATGCACTTTTATTGTCACTAATCCTAATGAACTGGTATTGTGAGGGCGAGGTTTAACTAATTAATTAATTATAATTAATTAATGACTTCAACTAAGGACAATTATTTGTTATACAACCTTTCATTATTATTATGTATTCTTTGTGATTTATCTAACTAACTAAACAAAAGCAAGCTTTATTTTATAAAATATTTTTTTAATTAATTTGATTTAAAAACCCTAACTAACGTAGTTTGCTTGGTAGGTTGGGTGTTTGTTGGCTTTTCAGAAAAGGACAAAACGAGATACATAGGTTTAGGTGAGATAGATGACAGGGAGAAAATAAGATACAAGAAAAGAACATCACAAACAAATGTTTATGTTCTAATCTCTCTACCTTTACAAAAACTAATATTAAATTTTAATTTAAATATTATTTATTTAATAAATTAGTATATAATAAATAAAATTCAAATAAAAGCAGGATTTTATTGCAAATTATAGCATACAACAGCACAGAGTTATGATATCTCCTGATTTCAGCCAAACTGCTGAAGATCATGCTAGTCTGTTAGTTTTAGTACAGCAACTAGGCAATGATATCAAGCCTAAATTATTCCAAAAAATATTTGATCGCTTGGCATTGCTTGACACATTTAGCATTGCAAAACCAGCTCGTAAAATTTCTTTCAAGTACAGAAAAAGTTACAGCAGGATTGAAAATTCATGGGGTTCTTTTCAAGCTCACAGGAAAGTTTTAGGGTTAATTACAATAGGTCAGTGTGGTAACAAAGTTGCAACAGAAAGTGAATCAAAAGAAAATTATGATTTTGAAAAATTCCTAATTAAAGAGCACCAGTCAGTAAAAGATCATTATGAAGATACTTTGTTAGATTCAATACTTATTTTATTCAAAAGCGAACAAAGTTCTGATAACAGTCCAAACAGTGAAGCAGAAAGTACAGATGAACATGATGAGACATTAACCATGAATGACATTAAGCAGAATGGATCAAACCTCGAAACTCCTAACACTAACAATCAACATGGCAGTGATGTGTCCTCACCAACTTTGGTGAACAACATCAAGTTGAACCCAGATGGAACCTGCTTCTTCAGCTTGAATAGTGACATCAGCTCTAATGCTAATGAAAATTTTAACAATGCTGATAAATTTGTAAGTCAATAAACATTTTATATTTTATGTAATTTTTTATTAATTATTATTGCTAATCAATTTATTTCAATTTTATTGCAAAACAGAAGCAGAACAATCACTTGAATGACTGCATGCACGACACTCACATATGGAGGTACAAAAATATTATGGCATGCACTGATCTAGAAGTTAAAATGCAGGACTTTTTTAATTCTTTGTTTTGGGTCCTTGAGAGCAAAAGACTTGATCGATCGCACGAAAGGTTGGACCATCTGGTACTTTACATGGCACCTTTTGAGAAAAAAGATTCAGGAATATTTCTTGATATTGAGAGCAGGTTGCTGATGCTGCCTTGTACTTTTTTAGTCTAAAGAACTTTCGTTTAAGTTAAAGTTTTGTTTCGTTAAAATTATTTTCATGTAATTAATTGATGTTGGAAAAAAATGTTTTTTTTTTATTGTTGATATTGTCAATAGATCATACAAGAAGAAATGCATAGGGCGCTATAGAAAACATCTCGGTGATCTGTGCCTGTTGGCAGGTCTACCCGGGGAGGCAACACTCCACTATCAGACGAGTCTCGAGCTCCTCAAGGCATCCAATGATTGGATGTGGATTGCTGGTCGGGGCATCAATCATTGTTTATAGATCATTTATTAACTTTATTTTTAAAACCATCGACAAACTTTGACTTATTTAAAATTTTTAACTGTTAGTGATTATAGTTTTTCACTATTGTAATGTTTCATCATAGGAGCTCAAGAGGGTTTGGCTATTTCATCTTACCTCATTTTAAAACCTCGGCCTCACCAGCTGAACCCGATGTCCCAGTCTATGGCTAGAAATTTGTCATTCTCTGTCAGGAGGGGTGTTGTCAAGAACAAAGATTCCAAATATTCCCAGATGATTCAAAGTGAAGGTTTATTAATTTTTTGTCATTTTAAAATTTAAAAGTTTGTTAACTATTTTTATAACGTTATTTCAATCTTTGGGCTGTTTTTAATAATAGGAAAAAGTTTTTTTACTGACATATTTGGCTCTTAATTAAAATGAACTGAACTTTATTTTTATTTTGTGTTTTTTTGTGATGCATATGCAATAAAAACACACATACCACAGACACACACACACACACACACACACACACACACACACACACACACACACACACACACACACACACACACACACACACACACATACACACCCACACACACACATACACACACACACACACACACACACACGGATACACAACACATACGGAGACACACGAGGACAAACATGCACACCCACACACACACACACACACACACACACACACACACACACACACACACACGGATACACAACACATACGGAGACACACGAGGACAAACATGCACACATTCCAGTGTCATCACTTCAAAGTGGGTTGGACCTGGCAAACGCCAGAAGCAAGTTGGCCCAACATCCGCTGGAGAACATGCACGAAGATATTCTTATCAATTATAAAGACGCTGTCATCAATTACTGCAAAGTTAGATCACACTCTCTCATATCCTCAAATTGATTTGAGGATTTGTACTATTCCTCTCTCTGTTTCTGTTTCTTTCTCTCTCTCTTTCTCTCTCTCTCTCTCTCTCTCTCTCTCTCTCTCTCTTCTGTCAAACTAATTTGAATTTGTAAATTTGAAATTATTTTTTATTGACTACCACTTTATTATTGTAGTCTTTTTTTATACTGAAATTTTTATTTTAAGATAATATTTACTTCTAATCATTTGTGAAACACTTGAATTTGTTATATTTCCATCTCTTATTAGTTACGTTTGTGATGTTTTTTCATTTATTGTGGATAAGTTTGTTTAACTTCTTCTGTGTAACTATTGTTCGTGCTGTTTATTTCTCTTCTAAATTCATTCCACAGATAAAAGAAGCTGGCTTGATAGAGCTAGAAGCCAGTTTGAAGGCCTGTAGAATATTATCCATGTACAAGGTGGTTTTTTCTATATATGTATATATATGTGTGACAGTTCTTTTCATTATATTATTTTATTATTATAATTATTATTATTACTATCGTTTTTATTAACTTTATTCCCTGCCGTTGTTTTGACTGTCCAAAATTAATGGGTTTTTCTTTGGAGTAAGTAAAAATTCTATACACTAAGTAAAAATACATTCAGCATTATTGTTATGATTAATTTTTCTGAATTAATCATCAGAGGCATCGCTGAAGCACACGCACGCACACACGCGCGCAAAAACGCGCGCGCGCACACGCACGGATTTGCGACAACACACATTGAATGCGCCGGGCAGGGATCACTTTGCTTTCGAATCTGGTCACTGCATCATCTGGGCAAGGCGCCTAACCATTATGACTGTTCATTACTCTATCAAGAAGTGCAAGTTAGTGGAAACTCTACATGATGTGAAAATTTAAAATGCAGAGGGTCATCGAGGCAGCTGACTTTCTTCAAAATGTCATCAGGATTAATATTACAATTGCTGAGCAGGACAAGGTTTGGAAGTTTATAATTCTGTTAATTATTCAATTATTTTTTAATTATTTATTGTTATTATAATTATTATTAATATTAATTATTTTATTTATTTGTTTATATTAAATATATAACAACCACCTTACAATATAATTTATATATATATGACTCATTATTAATCATTCCTTTGCTATCCCTTGTGGATTGTTAACTTTTTATTGTTAATTATTATTATTATTTTGTTGTTGTTATTGTTTGTATTTTTACAATTTCATCTGCCTACCTGCCATTTTTAATTCGATATTTCTGATATTTCACATCAAAACCAATGAAGTCTCTTATTTGCTCGGCAAACATTTCACGCTATACTTGGGTTATAATTTTTCATTTGGTACATGGCCATTGTCTAATGCCTTATTTGGTTCTTTTTGTTCCTTTTTTTGATTGTTCTCCTTGACAATTTCATTCATTTTAATATGGCCACAGTTTATTTTACCGTTCTACACACACATAAACACACACACACACACACACACACACACACACACACACACACACACACACACACACACACACACACACACACACACACACACTTAAACGCACTCAGATTGAGCAGTTTAGCACTCTGTCATCATTATACGACGGCCTTGGCCTCAAGAGAAAATCCTCATTTTATAGTCGCATAGCCGCGATGCTATGTGTGGTTCCAGTCAATCCGCAACCATCTTGGCAACTTTGCTATCGGTCGGTTGTTGGGATGTTGTTATCGTCTCATGTGTTGTTGTTCTTATCGTGGGTTATATGTTGTTATGTGTTATTACGTTGCTCTGTTATTATTACTTTCTGGCTTTCATGTCATTCGTTCGACTATTCGTTTAATATTTCTCTCTCTTTCTTTCTCTCTCTCTCTCTCTCTCTCTCTCTCTTCTCTCTTTCTCATTCGCATTCACTCATCCACTCGTTCACTCATTCACTCGTCCACTCATATATAATGATGATAATTGTTTGAGCAGATTGTTGCTGCAGTCATTTCCTGGTTTCAAGTTGTCACTGGATCCACGTGACATGAGTTCCGATCTTCCAGGTTGATGATGGCGATGAGAGATGATAATTATAGAAAGAGTGATGGTGATGATGAGAATATAGAAAAATAATTTCAATAACTCTTATCTGTTTTCTAATTTTTGCTCTTATCTTCATATGCTAATAGACCACTCACTCACTCCTTTACTCAACTTGTTCACTTCTTCACTCATCCGCTCATTCACTCATCTACTCATTGACGCATTCACTTATCTACTCGCTCACTCATTCACGCATCCACTCATTTACCCATTCACTCAATCATTCACTCCTCATCATCACCATCACTGGCAGACCAGCCAGACGGTTGGCCTTCTTTGAAACTTCGAGTCTTCCACGAATTAATATACGCCGCCAGGAAACTCGGGGACCCTGCCGTACCTGTCAGGTCTGCTGGAGTTGTTGTTGTTTGGTCGTTTTCGGGCTGTTGTTGGAGGTTGTTTTGGTTGCTGCGATCTGGTGTTATCATGTGGTTGCATTGTTGAGTTGTCGTGTGGTAGGTTGTTTATGGGTCAGTGACTGGTTTGTAGCTGCTTTGTCGAATTGTTGTTGTTGTGTGACCTGTCGCTGAGAAGTTTTTTTCATTGGTTGAATGGTTGTTCTCCTTGAGTGACTTCTAAGTGCTGCCTCTGTGGTTAGTTCGTTGCTGGTTAGCAGAGAGTCAAGTTGACATTTATTTTCCATTCCACCACATGGCATCTTACCACGCAGACACCTCTGCCTCCTCCTACACACGATGTTCCAGCACCTATCCATGCAGGAGCGTGTCGAGTTGTGTCACGCCCTCAAGTCATACACGGACAGCTATCGACCTTCACCTTACTCTATGGCCCTTCAAAATGGCACCATTCTCCCGCCAGTTGCCATGACTTTGATTCCTGTTTTGAGGTGGGTGCGTTTTGATTTTAGTTAATATTTCATGGAGAAGTGCTGTTTTATTTTTGGTTATTTCATGCTTTGCTGCTGAAGTTTGGCACTATTGGAACGTTTCATTTTAGCTTACCTAGCTATGTTAATATGTGGTTTTTTACTATTTTAATGAGTTATTTTATTCTAGAATTTCAATTCATGGATAAGAAAATTATTACTACGTCATGTTTTTTGTCATTCTTTCTATTGTCAACTTTCCTTTTATCATTCACTCAGTATTGTAGATGTGAACTTTAACGCATATCTTTGGTTTCAATAGCACCTGTCTTCATATCAATTTATCCACATCGTAATGATTGATTAGTTACAAACTTAAACATTTTCAACCTGTCGACAAATGAAGGAATGTCGAAATTCTCGACCTTGTGCCTCTCTACCGACCATCAAAGTTTAAAAGGTCAAAGTTGAATAGTTCAGGAGTCATGGTGAGAGACGATGCTGATTCAAAACCTGCTCACCCATTCATCTACAGCCCCTTCATGGATGCCAGCAATCAGAATTGGAAGAACCACAAGTACAAACAGTCCCATGCTCAGCCCTACAGAGGTTTCACATGTTTCAGTCAATATAATTTCCTTGCTTGTTCTATAAATTAGCAGTTTTCAAAGTGTTCTCACATTCCCAAGCGTTAAATTTACGAAGCCAAGCAGCGGTCATTTGTTATTTTTTCTCCTCATTTATTCTTCCTACCTGCCAGCTAATAAATGTTTGTGCCTCTGCAGAGGAGTGGCACGTAGCATAGAATACAAATAATTTAAAATTTTCAAACATATGCTAATCAATTATTTTTAGTTCTAACTTGAAACAAATTTTGAATTTTACAGACGTCACGTGGGTGAACGGCAACTCTTGCGAGATCGAATTATATTTCAGCAATTTATTACCTATCGATCTTCTCGTCGAACACGTTGACATCCTCTTTGAGGGGGCAGAGGTCAAAGTTCATCCCGTGACCTTCACCCTACCTCCATTTGCTGACCTTGTGAAAATCAGGATCCTAGTGGATCCCGTGTCTGCTGGCCAGGCCGCCGTTATTGGTCAGTTGTTTATTCGTTTTTCTATTGGTCAGTCATTTATTCGATTTTCTATTGGTCAGTTGTTTATTTTCTATTAAAGTGACGTTATTTTTTATTCATTCGTCATTTTCATTCTAATAGAACCCACGACATGTACAATGTTCATCCTCATTCAATGTTCACCCTCATGCAATGTTCACCCTCATACAATGTTCACCCTCATACAATATTCACCCACATACAATGTTCATCCTCATACAATGTTCACCTCATACAATGTTCACCCTCAAACGCCTGGCAGGTTACACCGCGGAAGTATTTAAAGTAAAGAGCATAATCAAATTCAAAGATTTACTGCACGCACCGTGCCCTCGGCACCCTCCACCCCATGCACGATTCCTACCACCACCACCATCACTGACGACAACAACAACGTCAGCGTCATCAGCTTCGTTGACGTCATTATCGTCGTTGTCAGTAAACAAGTCCTTCCGACATATCATCAAAAGGTTTAAGATCCACGAGAAGTATGGCGTAACTGTGATTCCATCCATGCCTCTTTTGCAGATTACGTCATCGTCCTTACCTTCGCTATCGTCGCCAACCATACTGACGTCTGATCTTTCACTCGCAACATCGTCAACGACAACCACACCAACTACAATCACCAACAAGACCGATGTGGGTGATGATTGTTGCATTCAACTTTCAACTGATGTCATTATATACTGTGGACAGAGGTTTGATTGCTGCTGTTGTTGTTGCTGTTGCGGTGTTGTTGTTGTTTTTGTCGTTGTTGTTGTTCTTGTTGCTGCTGTCGTTGTTGTTGTTGTTTCCTACTTACTATTTTAAATTTATGTTCAGTTACATTATGTTATGTTGTGTTATGTTATGTTGTGTTGTGTTGTTATGTTACAACAACAACAACCACAACAACATCCACAACAACCACAACAGCAACAACTACAACAACAATCATAACAACACCGACTACAACAACAACAACAACCTCAAAAACAACATCAACAACAACAGATCAGACTTGATACTCACTCTCTTGAACATAGGCAAGTTGCCTGTTGAAAGGCTGGATGTACATGTAACCGCCCAACCCGTAAATAAAGGTTTCGAAAAATAAATTTTAAAATTTTTTGCTCACTCGTTCAATCATTCGTTATTTCATTTATTAATTCATCCATACATTAATTGATTCATTGATTAATTATTAATTGATTAATTGATTATTTCATTAATTCATTAATTCATTCATTCATTCATCCATCCATCCATCCATCCATCCATCCATCCATCCATCCATCCATCCATCCATCCATCCATCCATCCATCTATCCATCCATCCATCCATCCATACATTCATTCATTCATTAATTCATACATTCATTCATTCATTCATTCATTTATTCATTCATTCATTCATTCATTCATTCATTCATTCATTCATTCATTTATCTACTCTTGTCTGATTAATTTATTTTTTCATTCAAACCACAGAATTCTTGGACTCCATCTTCCAACAAAAACACCTCAGCAACGCCATCAATTCAAGTGAAGATTACATCAACGGCAAGTTGCCCCTGGCCTCTGGTGACAAGTTAGATATCACGTTTCATATAATCGGACCGAACCATTTCAAATCAGAGGGAGGTTCGACTTCCTATCTTACAGGTTCTCATTATAGAAATTGAAAATAAATTCTTTTTTTTTAAATATTTTTTGAATTATTATTATTTAAAATTATTTTTCTTCAAAATGTTTCTCGAGTTTTTCATCCTTTGGTCAGATATGTTGAGTGACAGTGAGAGGTTGCTGAAGTATTATGAAAGATTTCTGAATGCAAACAATTCATTGGTTAGTATAATTGTATTTAGTAACATGCTTGCTACTACTACTTTTGCTACCACTACTGCTACTACTACTGCTGCTTCTACTACTATTGCTGCTACTACAACTATTACTTCTACAGATCATTTTTTCAAAATTTTTATGTGATGACATTTTATATTTTAAAATCAATATTTGAGTTTATTTTAAATTTTATGAATTTTACTCATACACCATCTTCGTCATCATTACACCATCTTCACCGGATCATCACCATATCATTCTCATCGCCACACCACTCACACGTCGTCATCACTTTAACCATCATCATCATCGTCGTCGTCATCCTCTCCCTCATCACCATGCCAGACATGTACGGTGACGATATTGCTACAATACAATGGTGGGTCCTGTGCTGAATACTGCAGACAGTGCTCCATGGTCCTCACCACAACCATCTTACCATCTCTGGAAATACTCCAACATCAGGTTCTACCACATCGGCGACTGGGGGTTGGTGCTGGTTGTGGCAAGATGGCAGAGGATGTGGTTAATAATGGTGCTGGAATTACTTATGACAATTGGTTTGTTTAGTTTCGTTGTTTGCTGCTCTTGTTGTTGTTACGGTTTGTGACAGTAGTTGTTGTTGTGTCACGTAGCAGCCTCGAAAAAGATGTCGTTGTCGTTGGCTTGGAGTTGAAGAACTCATCGGAGAACTCGATAGAGATAAGTTCCAGTGTTCCTGGTGCCTCCGATGTCTACAACATCGAGCCCTACCAAGTCGTGTGGTTAGCTGGGGTGAATGAAAATATGAATGAACGAATTGATGAATGAATTAATTAATGAATGAATTAATGAATGAATTAAAGAACTAATGATTGAATGAATGAATTAATCATTTAATTGATTAGCGAATTAATGGATGACAAAAAATTATGACTGCTGATCAAGCTAATTGTTCTTGTCATCCATATTTCTGGCAAATGCCTCACGTACACAAACACGCGCACACACACACACACACACGCGCGTAAACTAACAGACAAACAAACAAATGTATACTCTCTTACCAGGTTGCACATCACCATTCCAAAGTTCGAGAACGACCCCAGTTTAACGAGGTCAGACGCCAACATCGTGAACTTTGACCTCAGAGATCATCGAGCTTCAACGTACAGGAACATGTTAGTGGAGCACGTAGATCATCACACGTCTCTCTCCTGGAAGATGGTTCCATCTTTTTTCATTCTTTTGTTTTTGCGTTTGAGAGGTTCTGTTTTTGAACTTTTTGAACGTTGGCTTGTTTGTTCATTTGTAAATGTTTTTGATGCTTTTGCGTCGGCTAATTTCGATGTTTGTGCCAGTTCACGCTTGCTTATGACTTAGTAGGAAGAAGAGATTTTATAAATTTTAAATGAATGAATGAATGAATGAATGAATGAATGAATGAATGAATGAATGAATGAATCCATTTATTGTTAACGACATCCACTCATTCCACATAGCCGAACATAGAAACAGAAGGTCACATGACACTGAGTGCTGTTCACTGGAGCAAGGAACAATGCATGATGCTGCAACGATCTTTCCTGTCGTCCTGTATGTTTCTGTAATGTCTTACATGTATGTGCGTGTTTACGTGTGCGTGTTTGTTTGTATGTCTGTACGTGTGTGTGTGTGTGTGTGTGTGTGTGTGTGTGTGTGTGTGTGTGTGTGTGTGTGTGTGTGTGTGTGTGTGTAGGTATTTGTGTGTGTGATTTTCTGGAAATTGGATGAGAGGTGAGATATATTTTTTTCTTGTATAATGTATCTATAAATAAATAAATAAAAGTTGGTTTCAAATTTGTCACAGGCGTCATGGTGAATGATAAGAAGATTGAATCACACTCAAGTTTTGTTTGTGAGGCTTTCATGGAGGTGCATGTTTCCGTGAGGGTTGCTAACAAATCAGGTGGGTGGTCCTGTCTGCTTGAGTCTAGTAACAATAGTCATTAAACATTATGTTGATGCTGTATTGTGGTGATGATGCATTCTTTTCTCATCACATGATGTTGTGATGGACGGTGATGATGTTTTCACTCCAGATATGGACTTAAGCAACGTGTGCGTGACAATTTCATTGGTTGACGAGAACAACAACCCCGCACCCCACGATACCTTCCTTCTTATTGGGTCATCTGATGTCAGCCAATCAAAAGTTAGATTTCTTTTTCCGTAATTTTACGTTGTTTTAATGAAAGCTATGTTTAAATATTTGGCTTAATTTTTTTAATTTGTCGTTGTATGCTCAAAATGAATGTTCAGTGAGTAAATTCGTGTGTGTGTGTGTGTGTGTGTGTGTTATTATTTCAGATGCAAGTGAATGCTGTGTTGGAGCACAACGTCACCATACTTCCTGTTGTCTCGGCCAGACGCAAGTTGCGCATCCTTTGCTCGGCATCAACCGACCACTCGAACTTTCAACATTACAACCAACATTTCAAGATCGAAAGCCATGCTATGCCACCGGGTAATCATCATGAAAGGTTTCATGAAAATTATTATGCACCTAAACCTGCAGCACATAATTCCATCCCTGCCACTCTCATCACCCAACCAACTCCCATTACACCGACGATTCCATGCGCGTTAACGACAACTCCAACAAACACACAAGCCAAACATGAGGCCGCCAATGTTGAAAATGATCAGCAGTTGAACGTTCCAACGAAGACGTTGTTGCAACTCTCTCAGTCGAATTTGGATTCAGGTAAGAGCAAGTTGAAGGCTAAGAGGAGAGCATCCAACGCAAGTCACGCCTCTGCAGCTTCCCTCGATTCCAGGACTTTTATTGATAAATTCCATGCCACGAGAGCGCTACCGCAATCAAAATCATTCACATCGTTAAATTCCGACGGCAAATCACTCCTCAATAAATCGCAGCCTCGATTACTCGACATCGCTACAGGAGCCACAAGGCTGACGGCGTCGCGCGATGACGTCAACACTCCTTACACTGGTTCAATTTCAAAGTTTAGATCGCACGAGAACCTGAAGATGCGGATGTCACGCTCCATATCTCCGATACTCCATAAAAAGTGCAGGTCTTTGAGTCGGGATTGCATTGTTACTGAGTCCTTCTCGCAGAAGTGCCACCAACCACCTTCTCTGACGTTAACGGATGCTTCCACAGCTGAAAATGACGACAACACTTTACTCACGTGGTCTTATGAAGCTCTGCTTACTTCAAAACAGCCGCCCAGTGATTAATTAATTTGTTTAAAAATACAATAAATGAATGAATCGACATTTTTGTTTTGTTTTACGTCATGTTTTGCGTTTGGCCACAACGTCGAAATTATGAATAAAAACGTTTGTTTGTGTTTGTGCGTGTTGTATTGTATACGCGTATATCATTTGCTTGTACAGAGATCTATATTCTATGTTTATTAGTTGCATGTTTTTTCATGTAAGATTGAGTATTATAGTGTTGTTGTATTGTTTGCATCGTTGTATTATTTGTTTGTATTGTTGTATCAGTTGTTTGTATTATTATTTGTTTAAATTGTTGTATTAGTTGTTTATACTGTTGTATTATTGGTATGTATTGTTGTATACAAGTTTGTATTTTTCTGTATTCCACTTCTAGAATTGTTTCTAGAATGGTCGTTTAGTATTCCATGGAACCTCTGATGATGTGTCAACTGACTCTGCTTTCAATTTCTTCATTAAATTTATTCACTTTATTACTACATTTATTAATTATTAATATATTTATATCTTATTATATAATAATATATATTATGAATGACTTTTTCCAGACTATTACTCTTGATTTGCATGATGTATATATGTATATTTACCCCGAACACTTGTCAAACTAACTACCGCTTATAATATTCATTGTAATGATTACGAACAACGCAAGCGTCTTTCTAGTAATTGTTCACACTGTTTGCAATAATTGGTTCTTTTATGGTTCTTGTTCACCTTTTTTTGACTCACTTATCACTATGACGGCGATGTTGGAGCATAATTGTGATGATTAATTACATCATTTAGGATTGGTCATAACTTATAATGATGACACGAGATGACATAGCAATGAATTGGTTCTTTATAAGCAATGTTGACTATGAGGCCGGTGTGATTATATTCCTCTAGTTACGTTAAAAGCGATATAGAATCAATATCATATCTCTATCTGACGCTCTTAGCTGATTAAGTTGTTGTTTCATTTATTCGTATTTTTTATTTTTGATGTAAATTAATGATTGACCTATGCATTTATTTTTCTTTGCATTCAGCTGTTTATTAATTCATTTATTAGTTCATTTATTAATTAATTCATTATTTCGTTCATGCATCTGTTACTTCATCTATTCGATCATAGTTTTGTTCACAATTTATAAAATATTTCATTATTATAATAAAATAATCAAATATATGTCAACAGTTTTCATCTCTGGTGAATTTACAATCTTAAAAATCGTTATCTTCACGGGGAACATTTGCATGAAAAGTAACGGTTAGGATTAGGACGATCAATATTTATGAGCTGAAATGTGATCCGGCGGTTTGATTTTGCTGCTTTGGTGTAGGCGAATTTATTATTTACAATTTATGAGCTGAAATGTGATCCGGCGGTTTGATTTTGCTGCTTTGGTGTAGGCGAATTTATTATTTACAATAGAAGGATATAGGAATTAAAGATTTGGAAATATTTATCTGCAAATTTAGATTTGTCAGATCTGGAGGTATGACGAATTTGAATGAGAATTTGAATGAGAAAATTTTAAAAGTGAGTTTTTTGCTATTTTAGATGCCTCATTGATATACGTAAAAATAGAGTAACCAACTATACATATTGCTTGCGTACGTGTACGTGCGTAATTGTAAAAGCGTATTTTAACTTTTAGATGCTTTTAACGTCAGTGTGTCAAAACCGAGAAATGTGATGGTGGCTGTCACCTAATCAATTTCAAATTTTGAACATTTTTTTTACCTGCGTTTTTATTTCAATTAAACTCGCTACTTGAATTTGTGGTCTGTGTAAATATGTACCGCCGCTATCATTACAATCTATCACATCCTATCTATTTGGATTTGATTTTGATTTGATTAAATTTTGATCCGTCACTTTACAAGTCGGCTTTATTTTGTTGCTTTGTTATTAAATTTTAAAAACTTAATGCGTGATTACAAAAAATATTTGGTATTATTAGCATTGCGTCGTGTTTTAATGTGGTTAGGGCAATAGGATTGCACTTTTTTCTAACTTTTATTCGTGTGTTTCAAATACAAAAAAACAAAACAAACTCATGCTATTTGCATATACATATTTAAACTGTACACACAAAACAATTGAATTCTATTGGTAAGACGAGTAAAAACAATTTGGATAACAAACAAAACCTAATAAAACTACTGTATATACAAAAAGTATTTTAACGTATTTGATTAGAAAGTAAAGACTACAAACTCGAAATTATTTTGAATTAAACATTAATTATATTCATATTAAATAAATACAGATTGTATTACGAGTGTTATTTAGATAAATTGTAAGCGTTTATACTTTGGGAATCTAACATGGATGAAACTCACTTGAATTTTTCTAACTCTTACAGCAACATGCTGACAACTTTCAACGCATCGACGACTTCCAACTTTTCCACATCAGACGACGACAAAGTTGTCTACTTCATGGGCCACTACTTTCCGTTCTGTTCTTTTAGACATCCAGGTTTGGTTTGCTATCGTCATCGTGTCGCTTGCCATCTAAATTTTTTTTGTATGCAATGCTACACACATATTTTTAATTACATAATTTTTTAACTTTACATTATTGCCTGCAACCACCTAGAGAGTCTAAAAATGAAACCCTGATCATTACACAGGCACAAGCCTGTGTAATTAATTAATTTTTAGGAGCATCCTTTTTCTCTGTATCGTTAGCAATTGAGTTAGCAAGTGGATAATCTTAACAAAAATGTTTAAGTCCTTTTAAAACCACATGGAATAAAAATAATCGCAAATCACAAAGCCCATAAATGTTGTTTATGTTACTCACATGTTACTCAAAGCATATATGAAACAGCAATTGACGTTTTGAAAAAGAATTAGAGAAGAAGGATGAAACCATGGATGTCACTGGTAGGAGCGGAAGGATGAAGCAGGACAAACAGTCTTCTTGTTGGATGCATCTCATTATCATGCTACTCATCATCGTCATGTTTTGCACCATTGTTTATTTTGGATGGCGTATGATGAAGAGGAGGCGGAACAGGTTAGCTGGCTGGGTTGATGTCGTGTAGAGGTGAATCTTTGGTTGCACGTTTAAACAGAAAGTATGCGCACTACGATGAGCTGCGTTTGAAATGGATGCAACATGTTCACAGAACTTAAAGATTGTTCGAATTTCAATATTTGCAAGGCGTGTGCAACGAATTGAAACAGTTGAAAACCCCAAGTACGCGTTGGAGAGGAATCCGTCCAGGTGCAAATACTCCAGGGGCAACGTTCTCTACACTGGATCGACGGTTATATTTATTTATTTTGTTTATTTATTTATTTAAAGGATAACCAAAAAAGATAAACTTATGGATAGGCCACCCTTAACTAAGAATTCCAACTGTAAATGTAACAGAAATGTCAAATAAATACATACACACAAATTCTTACTACAAATGTAACAGAAATGTCAAATAAATACATATACACAAACACATGCTCACACGTACATCATTCTATGAATACTGTCATGTTTCATATAGCACCTAAAGGTGACAGTATAGTCACAACTGAGACTGATGCATTAACTATTTCATTGTCACAGGTATTAGGTTTTCATCATTTTAGTAAATACTGAACTTCAATTTACAATAGGCACCAGATTTCCTTAGTTTGTATTTAAACCGCGGGCAGACATAAAAAACCTCTCGAGGCGACAATAAATTTATGAACTCAAACACATTTCATGCAACTTGAAGCCATTTGAGAGGCTGAGCGATTGGAAGCAACTTTTAACTTTCATTAATTAAAAATGGAATCAATTCATTTCACCACCATTAATAATGATAGTAGAATATTATCATTATTATAATGATGATATTCCATTATATAATCATTAATATTATATTAATTAATTAATTATTAATATCAATAATAATTATTAATTACTAACACCATTAATTTACCCATTAATTCATTATTCCACCACCAAATTTCAAACGTATGTTCCATCGAATGTTAATCACCAACACAGCATTCTCCACCAGCAGTTGAGTTCATTACAGAAGATTCATCCGCTGACGCTGGCAAACCATCCAACCAGAATCATAAGTCCATAGAAGCTTTGATGGAAACAGAAAAAAATGATTGTTAAAATTATATTTTTCACCCGACAGATTCAATCCTTTCGACGATTAATTTTTTTTTCATGATTTTACCTTTTTGTACCGTGCCTACCAGGTGAATGAAAAACATTTAGGAAACTAACCATACCGCCCCATTATATAATAATAAATGTTACTGCATATTATTCAAAAATTCTTTTTATTTGTTTTAAACATTTTCATAATTTGGTTCGCGTTGACAAATTATTTTTACCTAACTTCCGTTTGTTATACGTTATTAAAGCCATTTTAACATGTTTTGTTAACATTGCTTAAAAACTCGACAAGAATATGAAGCCAGACATTAACATAGGCGGGATTCGAAGATTTCATTCATAAACGCAAATAATAGTATTTTACACATAAAAATGTTAGTCACGCTTTATATATGATTCTACACTGGAATTGTCTCCCTATCACCCTTCGTTATTAAACTTATATCACACAAAATACACTTAAACTATAAACCTCGATATGTGCCTTGAAACATAGGTACTCGGAGAAAACCCAAGCAGAGAAACGACGAGCAAGTTGACACAAACACAGCAGCGGAAACCACACAATTTACTTTTTTGAAAAAAAAAAAATTTGGCGTACATCAAGTCACAATAATCAAGCCTGACGCTGCAACAAAAAAGTGCTGAAGCCATTCAGTTGGTGGAATGATCTGCATGAAATTAAAATAATGAAGATCGACATTTACGAGAGCTCTCAACCGTCACCGATGAAATTAAAACAGGTAAGAAAGATACAAATTAAAACCACTTGGCAGGATAACTCCAGAAAACGTAACGCAATATCTGCATTATGGGAGAGGCAATCATGAAAAGATTATAAACACCATACACGGTTGCTAGCCTGCCAGTCTGCTCGTGTTCTTAGCGAAATATACACAACATATTTGAACGAATAAGTATATAAGTAAATATAAATATACGTAAAAAATGTATAAGCAAACTGTGCTGTACCGTAACATACATTCGTGTGTGTGCGTATGAACATAGTTGCACGCATGTGTGTGTGTGTGTGTGTGTGTGTGTGTGTGTGTGTGTGTGTGTGGTGTTTGAGAGAGAGAAAATGCATGTTTTTTTTGAAGATAAGCATCAGTTTAGTGACTGTGACCCTGTAATAATTACAAAGCTATCATCACTTAATGATTGTGGGTTGTTATTGTTGCACTTGTTACCAGCGTTATCTTCTTTGTTGGGAGGAATGTTTTTATCAAGCTGTTTATTAGGAGAAGCACCAGTTTGGTTGGTATTGTCTTTGTCAGTTTTATCTTTGCTACTGCCTGTTTTAGTCTGGTTTTCAGCAGTTTGCATGTTGCACTTGTTATCAAAATCTTCAGCTGTTCTTGCAGTGACATCACTTCCTGCAGATTTTCCATCCGCAGCAGGTGCACCAAAGATGTTCGAATTGGAAATTCTTTGCTGAGGTTGATGATAAAAATTAATTTACTACTATTGAATAAATTGAAATTCAATGTTTCAAAGTTTAAAATGCAAAAAGTGAGCTTACTTTAACCGTATTGTATGCAGTTCCCACTTTGTCTTCAATTGATTTAACAGCACTAGAATTTCTGTGTTTATTAAAAATAAAATTTTGAAAATATAAAAAGGTTGAATAAAGGAAGTCAATAGAAGAAACTTAATTACTTTAATGATTCCACAGCCTTTGAGGCATATTGTCCAATAGACTTCACTGCTGCATTTGTTTTCTGCATTCTGCAGATTCAAAATTAAATTTACAAATATTTGATAAACATTAAATATAATTCAGTGTTGAAAATATTAAGTTAGACATGAAAAAATAAAATAAAAATTTTGAAGCAAGCGACATACGCATCGGAATCCTGGATGGCCTGAATGCCAGATCTGATGTCTTCCTTCAACTCATTCATGGGACTGATGCCTAATTTGTTCCTCAACTCACATGCTTCTGCTGCCTTTGCTTGCAACACCTTTTTCAGGGTCTGGATTTCTTTTTCCAACTTAAACAAAGAAATAAAAGTAAAAATTTGCAATGAAAAAAAACTTGCTTGCCAATTCAACAAATTATAATGGATAAGTGAGCCAACCTGAAGAAGTTGTTGTCTGTATTCATCCTCCAACTTCTGTCTCTCACTGACATCCACAAGAGGTGGTGGCCAGTTGTCTTTTAATTTAATTTAATTTGGTAACATTTAGAACTTAATAAAAGTATAATTAATCTGTAATTAATTGTATAACACATTATTTAACTTGTTCGTGAATTCATACACATAAAAAACATTATTTCAATATTGAATATAAATTTTATATAAAAGTATAAAAAATTGTATAAGAAAATTTAGGACAAAATTTAGTTTATTTATAAAAAATGTACTAATTAAACAGGGGTGGGTACTTTACTTAGTTTTAGCTTAGTTTAATTTTAATTAATTAAACTATAGTTTAAAAAAGACTCTTGTCTTAGCAACTAATTACTTTTGTGTTTTGTCATTTTGTGACTTTTTTTTATTTAATAATTTTTTTATTATAATACTAAATGTCTGTAACAGCAGTGCAATACCAATCACGTTCTGATAAAAAATAAATGAAAACGTTATGAGGTGAAAAAAATGAGTTTTATTTTAATGACAATTTTTTTTAGTGAAGAAGATAAAAATGTAAAATAAATTGTCAACTTTCACAATTTCACATTCAAGAAAAAATTGTAAAACAAAAAACGGATGAACAAAAAATTGAAAGCACTTAACAACAATCCCATTCGTCACCCAACCCTTCAAACCTTTGCCACCAGACGCCATTTTAATTATTTAGAAAGAAAAAAGAAAGAATTGTCAACTGAAATAACTGAAAAATAAGTTCTCGGCCGACAAAGTGACAGACCAGATGAAAACTTTTTAGCGATGGGCAAAGTAAAAGTTTATTTATATCTAGTTCACATTTAAACAAATCTGGAAAAAAAATACATCAGCATACATAGTATTGTATATTGTATTTTTACATAAATAATAATAATAATAAAACAAATCAATAAAATAATTGAATTAGTAGATATGTAACAATGAAATGAATACATAACTAATTTGTTTTATTATATGAAATCAGTAGAATTACTTGAGTTAATCTGACTGATGTATTTGGTGAGTTCGATATATAGTAATTAATATAGAGTTCGATTATTTAATACTAAAAATTAAGATATATGTTCAATATATATATATATATATATATATATATATATATATATATATATATACATCAAGTGTGTTAACTGAAATAACAATATATATATATATATACGTAAATACTTATTTTGACCAGAATTTATCATTTGGAAGCGGTGGATTTTAGTTAAGTTTTTCTTATGGTTTGAAACATTCAACAAGTTTTTTAAGAATATACAATGCTTACTTAGAACATAAAATTTGAATAGCCAAACTTCGATTATTTTTTTTTTTGATAAGTTTTTTTTAGAATTTAGCATGTCAAAATAATACTACTTTTTCCATTTTTTCGTTTTGTACTATTTTTCCTTTATAAATCAGTTAACAAATTTTTGCAGATATAAAGACGTTATGTCTCGAGTCTTTTACTCAGAAATACCTGAATTTTTTTTACTTGCTATTATTTGTTGATGTAATTCGTTTATTTTTTCAAACATCAAGTGTGTTAACTGAAACATCTAAGCATTTGGCTCCAACTGTACAAACCCTTTCGTTAGTTAATTACATAATTGCCTTTTTTATTTCATCAAAGCTCTTTGTTTAATCTCTTTACATTACACCACACACACACACACACACACACACACACACAAACACTTTTTTTAGTTTTATACAAACACAGATTTATAAACGTAAAAATGTGTCTGTCTACCACGTTCGAATAAAAATATTTTCAAAAAATTATTTTTCATGTTTTCGTGCATGCCTGATCGTTTGATTTCCAGTTAGGTTATTCTTGTCTTTAGCGTATAGGTGCGTTTGTGGGTTCTTACATTAAAGAAAATATATAAAAAAAATAAAATCATTAGAAAATATAAATATTTGAAATCACAAAAAGGTAGTAATTCAATATAAAAGCTATAAATGTGGAAAATGAGAATCATTATGTAGACTGTCTTCGTAGGATGGTGGCGGAGTTTTCCGCTTTCCAACGATATCTGATCCCTTGAGTGCACCGACCTTATATACATCTGTAAATCCGTTTAAACTCGATTCGATGGTCACTATTCGATCTACGGCTTTTAATTGATTTGCGAATGCGTGGCTAGACTTAACTTGGCAATCCAAAAAGTGGTTGTTGTTTGAAGATCCCGATGTCGTCATCTCTTCTTCCGATGGAGCGCTTGGTTCGATGTTTGTCGTTGTGTCACAGTTGAAGACGCATTTGTTGCTCGCCTCTATTTCGCTGTATGATGGCGGCGTCCGTTTCGGCGAATCGTCGTAACGGTGGCTGGTTTTGTTTTTAGCGCATCCTATTACGAAAAGGTTCATTTAAAATTCAATTCGGAAAATTATTAAAAAGTAAAAAAAAGCCTTACGTCGAGATATTATCTTTTTCTGCTTTTTATTTTTTCTTATTAGACAACAAATGATCAAAGTCAGGGCCAACGTGAGAAATGCAAAAAATCCGTAACAGAGTTTTGCTTGGGTGGATAGTTTCGACGGATCATCTAGTCTGTTAATTTTATTTGTTACTCAAGTATAAGCTGCTATAGTTTTTCAGGTTATTTCTATTTGTAATTTAATATAATATGAAAATTCTTTTCTAGATCGTGTATGAATTTTTAAATCTAAATAAATTTGAATACGATCATGTGTTTGTTGTATTTCAATAATTTATTAAATTATATACAAATGATTGTGTTGTGATAGCTAATTGAACATGTCGTATTAAGCATGTCGCACATTCATCTGCCAATAATAAATTGATATCAAGACAACTTATGAAATTCAACATCGTGACGTAAAAAATGTATCTCACGAATTAGGATCAAAGTAATCGTCGGATCGCTGGCATCGAAACTTATTCCAATCCTGATGGTACCGACAGCACAGGACCGAGGTTTGCTCCGTGGATCGTTTCAACCGAATAGCTGTGTCGGTTTTATTCTCTCCATAGTTTGTCGCCCATTTTTTCAACCGTTTCTTTTTTAAAATGGAAACGTTGTCATTGTTTTTGTTGCGCTCAAAAGTTTCGTCGACAGTGCAACAGCAGTAGTCGATATCTGGCAAATAATTAGTGACCGAACAAACGTGGGTGAATTCGCCGTAAACTCGGCTAAGACACTTTTGGATCTCGTTGTCCTGGTACCAGAATGATACAGATTTGTAATCTGAAATGAAAAAATTACCTGAATGAAAAAAAGTTTTGTTGAATCGAAACATGCTCATAAAAGATTTGAAACTGTCTACGAGAAAGTATGTACGTTTGTAAGTGTAGCCCTTAACATCGGATCTCAGTTTTCTAATTTGAAGTTGGGATTTGTTAGCTTCAGTTTAGAAGATTTAAAATTTTAATTAAATAACTATGAATGAAAGTTTAGTAAGCCTGAGATGACATTAAGTGTATTTTGAGAGTTTGAACCATTCAAGAAAAATTCAAATTTTTCTTGTCTTAAATATCTCGAACAAAAAAACAAATTCATTTTAGAAATTTTGTAGTTAAATAATAAAAGTTGATTCATTTTACGTCTTTTTTTGGCAATTTTGATAAATTTCATCAGAAATATTCATAATAATGAAATAACTCACACATGTTTGAGCAATGTATCTTTTGTTCTTTATTGCAAGAAGCATTTGCAGGGGAATAATCTGGAAATTAAATAAAAATAAAAAGATAAATAAAACGTACAGATGAGGCGAACGAATGTTAAGTAACGTTGTAAAGAGGTATGTACAACATATCAATCAAAGAAGTTTACAACATAAATCTGCTGGATCTCATTTCAAAAATATGTAATAAATTGTTTGATTCTCTTTCCGTACTGTTTCTGCTGCTGCTGCTGCTGTCAAAAACAACTGCTGTTTTCCTATCGCCGTTGCGACTACTACTACTACAACCACAACTGCTAAAACTACTCCTACTATTACTACAACTACAGCTACTACAACTACTACATGTTTATTATTTTATTATATTTGAACTGGATTAAGCATGGTGCACTGGCGATAATGAAGAACAAACATAAATACTTATGGGCAATTTATTTAAGGTTTACGTCAATTCGTCAAAAATCGCTATTTCATACTGTTAAAACTTGCTTATTGTTTATTTTTATTGTATCAACTCTTTGAATAGTTTGCGAATTTTTCATTTTTTTTCATGTAAACAAAACCGGGTGTCTTACTCGCTGCACTCTTCAGTATAAACAAACTTTTTAAACGAGGAAATGAGAGAGAAGGAAAGAAGAAAAAAGGGAGAGAAAAAGAAAAGAGTGAAAGAGTGAACGAAAGAGAGAGAGAGAGAAAAAGAGTGAAAGAGAGAGAGAGAGAGAGAGAGAGAGAGAGAGAGAGATTTAACGATGCTTTTGTATCTTTCCATATCAAGCAGGCAATTAAAATACTTCTCTCGAAGATTTATCTTTAAACTTTTTCGAAACTCGAACTATTTTCAACGTTTTAAACTTTAAAAATTAAGACTTCAAGTGTGGTCTAGCCATTGAAAACCCATGTATTTGATTATTTCTTCCTGATTTACGTTCTGTTAGCAATGTTGTGATGAATTCTCTAATTGGTAAGTTTTTAAAAGGGCGAAAAATTCAATTATATTTAATTTTTTGGTAAATTTCAAAAATTTTTTAAAGAAAATAAAAGTTTTAAAAAGTTATAGAGACTATTAAAATGAACAAAAAAAATCAACCAGAAGCTTGCGTTTGAAAGGTAATTAAAACAATAACTTTCAGTGTGTGTGAATGGGAAGTGGGCTCAAAGCGTTGTTGATCTTAACTAAATGTATTATATAAATTCATATAATTGAGTTGGTATTGTTGTAATAATGAATTATAACACACTTGCGATATATTTGCAGGAATCATGCATTATTTGGTTCCAACACCCCTTCCTACGTATCTCTATTATTTATGGCTGGTCAGTGTTGCGATGTGGAAATAATACGTTGCGATCGTGGTCATATATATGCGTGTGTTCGTGTGCGTGTGTGAGTGTGTGTGAATGTATGCGTTTGTGTATTTATATTTATATATGTATCGCGTATTTTTCCATTGCACATTTAGGCATACATAGGTGTATACATGCGACGGACGGTCCTAAGATGAATAGCGTAGGTTAAGCCGGGTATCCATTATACTTGACAGTTTTTCCACCACAGCAGTTTTTTTACTAGCGCACTGATTACATTTATCTTCAGAGACTTACACTTCAACACGCACACGAATAAGTCTTTGCAAATAGCCGGGCAAATAGTTTATCCCATGATGATGGTTACAAAAGTTTTTAGTTGTACGTGCGTTAACTGGACGGACAGGTTATCAATAAAACAAATGACCAACTTTCAATATTTCAAATTGACTTTAAGCAACAAATCTCCAATAGAATTTTAACAAATTTACATTATCAAACACACGAACATTAGATACATATTTATAATAATAGAAAATATCAACGGACAAACTTGATGTATGCGTATAAAATATTTGCGATGCACTGGCATATTCATCTTTATAGCTCATAGAAGCGCGTATATCTGAGAGGAATATTCTCTCGCGCACTTTGAGGCGAACTTGCAAGGGAGAGAGAGGATTGTGTTCTTGCACGTGCGCCATGCGATATAATTGAATCAAAGTAGTTGATAAGGTGTAATAAATAGTCATATGTGTGCGTGTCTGTTTGTGCGTGTTGTATGTATACGTGCGTGAATGTGTGTTAAATCTTATATTAATCTGAAGATTTGTATTTTTTTGTACGCGACCAGTGTATGCTGTATGTACACGCGTGTGTGTATTGTTGTACTGTTTGTTGTGCGTCTATGTTTGTTTATGTTATGTACGTCAAACTGATGCGTCAGTTGGTTTGGTTGTTTCTATCTTCTTTAGTATTTACTCAATTTGAAATCTTCTCACAGAGAGATCATTTGAAATGAAACAAAATAAAAGAAAAACAATAAAATAATATTTATGTCTACTTTTGATTAATCTCAACAGCTGATGAAATGGTCTTGTTGTTCATTTATTCGTTGGTTCATTCGTTCGTCTGATCGTTCGTTTGTTCGTTCGTTCGTTTGTTTGTTTGTTCTAGCTATTCATATCAAAAACTTAACAGTAATTGTATCTTATTCGTTAATGTAAGCAGCGTTAAATGGAGAAACCTAACCCCAAAAAAATTACAAATTGTTTTTTTATCCTCCTCCACTGACCCACATTCAACACTGAACGTTTTGAAAGCGGGTAGAATATTTTTAATTTAATTAATTTGTTCAATTAATTTAATTAATTAATATTTAAATAATTTGTGGATAATTAATAAGATTTATAAAAAATCTATAATTTAAAAAAATCAATATACTTAAAATTTATCTGAACAACTGACCAGAGTTTATAAATACTTTTTCAATAATAATTGCCAGGCCAAACAGTTAACAAAGTACGTGTGAACTGTAAAAAAATTGAAAAAGGAACGAACTAATGAATGAACGAACAAACAAACAAGCGAATGAACTAATGAACGAACGAACAAACAAACAAGCGAACGAACGAATGAACGAACAAATCAGTTTCCAAAACTAAATAACATCCACCCCATTTCATCAGATAATACAAATGCAATGCAACATAATGGTACATTGCTATTAATATGTATGACGAATATGCATGGCTATTTGCACATATAATAGGAGAGAAGGAGAGAAAGAGAAAAATAGAGAGAGAGAGAGAGAGAGAGAGAGAGAGAGAGAGAGAAGAAAATGAACCCGTGATTTCGAATTAATATTTTTCTCTCCATTCTTCACCGGAGTGTTATTCAGATTTGATCCGCTATAAAACGATGCTAAATTAAATTTAAATGACGATGCTATTCGATACGTTTGCCGTGCGTGCATGGCTTGGGTGTGTGTTATATGTTAAATACAATGTACTAATTTAGTAAATATTATGCATGTATATTTACATTATGTCAAAAAACGATTTTTTTTTGAGTAGTTTCAAAGTTTTCTTTCCCAAAAAAATGATTAAAAAATGATCGAAAGCGTGGAGATCTTCGGCTATCACTGGCAACGTGATGTGGATTCACATATTGATATCCTAGTGAGTTGAATAAAAAAGAGGGTACCGTGTTTTGAGCTTCGTTGCAGGTTATTGTTATTTGTAGCGTTTGTTCCGTTGCAAAGGTTTTTCTGCGCGTGTTACTTCATATTGATTTTCTTACATCTAGATAGCATGGAATTTATTTATCTTCAATGATCTGCTGTTCTAAAGTGCTTACAATGGCGTGTTTGTTTGTTTGAGTGTGTTTGTTTGTTCGATTGTATGTATGTGTGTGCGTGTTTGTAGATATGTTTGTATGTCAGTGAGAGTCTGTTTATGTGCGCGCGCGAGAGAGCATGTCTTCTTGCGTGAATGAATATTTTGCGTTATCTGACAGAATGTTCAATCGTTAATTTTTGTATTGAGAATGATTTTGTGTGGATAGATGGATGGATGGATGGATGGATGGATGGATGGATGGATGGATGGATGGATGTTTGAATGAACACGGATGGACAGATGAAATAAAGAAAGACAAATGAATGAAGTGTAAGAGTAATGTATTTGTGATCGGAAGTCTTTCAAATGATTTTTCTTGCTTGCATTCACGGAAACATACGTACCATCCTCAGTTTATGTATACAAACAAACAAATAAACATACATACATACATACATACATACATACATACATACATACATACATACATACATACATACATACATACATACATACATACATACATACATACATACATACATACATACATACATACATACATACATACATACATACATACATACATACATACATACATACATACATACATACATACATACATACATACATACATACATACATACATACATACATACATACATACATACATACATACATACATACATACATACATACATACATACATACATACATACATACATACATACATACATACATACATACATACATACATACATACATACATACATACATACATACATACATACATACAAACATGGAAATATTTTGCATAAACAAAAATATACAAAAATAGATGTTTGTATAATTTATTGTCAGTGTGTGTGCAAGTGTATTAGTATAAATACATTTACAAATCTAGTATTCACGTATACTGGGAATCAACATAAAATTTTTCAAATGTAATTTTACTAAAGAATAACAACAACATAATTGTCATCATCATCAACAACAATACCATCATCATCATCAACAACAACATCATCACCATTATCAACATCACCATCAACAACATCAACATCATCACTAACATCATCATCATCATCATCATCATCATCATCATCATCATCATCATCATCATCATCATCATCATCATCATCATCAGGAATTGATGCAAGATAAATAGAGTAAGAAAGGAATGAAATATATCGAGAAAATGGAACTTAGGGAATCGAATGAAACTCTGTGGAAAGATGGAAAGAATGGAAAAAGAATGATGGTGATGATGCTGCTGCTGCTGATGATGATGATGGGGGTGACATAG